TTTATAGAACCCTGTAGCGTATTAGATTGTTACTAACACTTGAGGAGGAAGATTCTCTCTGTATTTCCATGGAAGAAATAAGCCACTTTGGGAGAGGGGTATAACATAGGAGATGAGGAGACAGGTCTTGGAGAGCAGGAGTAGCGAATTGGAGCCAGGGAGGGGGATGGGATGCATCGAGAGCCTATTTTTCTGCACTCCTCACATTGTCTCTGAGCTTTCTGGATTGCTTATGGATTCATATGGTTACTTGTGAAAACTCCTTGGCAGTTTAATCTGTCCGCCAGTGGTTTTCTCCATGTTTTCACTTCAGATAGATATCCGCAGTGGGCAGCAGTGTCGGAGTTACAGCATAGCTGAGACCTTTTGAGCAGGCACAGTGTTTCTCTTTGTGGGTTAATTGATTATCCACTGAGAATGCAAACTATGCAGAGCTGTACGGTATGATAACCGCTCAGTTGGAATGGATTTGGAAGTGGCTGTGACATTATGAAGGCACTGCCCTGGCATTTGCCTGGTGTGACTGAGGAAGAGTAAGAGAAACCTCAGGAACCACCCGCAGCATATTGCCCCAGATACTTTCTTTCTGTCGAGTGATGGAGGAGAGGGGTGTTGAGCTTTGTGTAAATGTTGAAGTTTGTTACACTGACTGGTTTTACTGTTTGCTGCTAAATGTGAGCTCTTCTTAAGTGTAATTCATTTGCATCATGGCCCAGTTAGCATGTGACAGCTGCAGTAGTCCATAAGAAGTGTCATGCATTGCCCAACTGGAGCCATTCACAAGGAAACAGGTGCTGTCTGCAAGGAATTTCTTAGTTTCTCCTTGCATATTTAAATTTAGTATTATCACGATTTAGGGGTGTGTCTATAGATGGGGTATGGTTTGGAAATTGGATTTATTGACACCACTTGGGATTACAAGTAATTATAGCAATATTGCTAATCTCTACACTTTACAGAGTTCACTACATCATCTGCTAACCCTCTTCCAGGCTGCTATGTCTTAACCAGCTGTTCCCTGGTAATGGCTTCTAACAGTGTAGATTCTACACTTTCCCAATCTCAGGTCATTCCTTCACTGACTAGCTATTCTCTCAACTGAACTGGATTGACATCTCTTCTCAGCCTCCCTTGCAGAGCTCATCTGCACACAGCACTCAGTTTTCTGCATGACTGAACTGCCAAAGTCAAAGTCACATTGTGACTGATGGTCAGTCAGTCTTGGTGTTTGGCCCAATCTGGGGCTTATGACTAGATATTTATTACTGCTTGACAGTTACAGTCTTATTATTGTGGGGCGCCCTCTCTGACGAGAGGACAGGTCTGTCTTTTGTCAGAGTCACTGTCTGCAGTAGTAAGTCATCTGTCATATGTAAAGGATATTTACATTTTACATGTTAAACATGGTAATAAATATATATAGAATATATACAGGGCCTCTATCAGTCCAGGCTCAGTACAGCAGATTATGCCCTATTTCTAGTAGCTTCCGTTACAATGGTGGTCTAGTCACTTGAACGGTCGTATGCTTCACTGCCGCCAAGTGCAAGCTTCTTATAAGACTGAACTGCCAACCCTCAACTCCTTTTATAACCACTTTGCACAGACAAAATAGAAAACATTGTTTCCAACAATACTTCTATATTGTTGCTTGTGTATTCATTGCCGCAGGAACCTGTTTACCAAGCAACAGATATCTGCCCTGGCTTCACTGTTCCGAACTCCAGGCGTCATGTCACAATATGATGAAATCATAAGAACTTGATAACTGTACTACACCCACTAATGTGCTTCCAGTACATCACCGAATTTGGCAGAGAGACCAATTTTAAGATCTTTATATATATATATATAAAGCATGTTCCTCCTGAAAAGCACCATGGTTGGTAAAACCACAGATGACAAGATCAAGGCTTTATGGGAAATTGTAGGTCAGATCAGCCATGCCCACAGTGAACGTTACTCAAAGGCCAAGCTGTCTGTTCCTTCAGTAAACACACATACAAAATTGTAATAAATTTAAAAATGAGTGAGTGTTGCAAAAGATGTAATGCATTGGCAGCCTCAAAGCTACAAAACCTTTCATATGCCATTACAGCTATGCCTCCAGCAGATTTGGATCACTTGATAGGAAGGCCACCAGTTAACCAAATACTGTGGCTGACAAACTAACTCCATGGAGCTATGACCTCCTTGAGAAGGCAGAGTCACCCAGCCACTCACATTCTCAGCACTGTGTGGATGCCAAAGGTTCATCCCTATATTCACAAGAACCCAGCACTGGTACCCGTCCTGAGCCAGATGAATCCAGTCCACACCCACACATCCTGTTTCTTTGAGATCCATTTTAATATCACCCTTCCATGCAGGTCTAGGCCTTCCTAGCGGTCTGTTTCCTTCAGATTTCCCTATAAAAACTTTGTATGTACTCCTATTCTCTCACACACGTGTTTCATGCCTTGCCCATCTTCTTGAGTGGTTGACAAAACTTTGTATGAACAGAAAACTGCAGATTTTAAATTTTAACAAGCAGTGTAACAGCTACGTGAGTGATACACACCTGATGATGGCCATTTAGGGCCGAAACATGTAGTGTGGAGGAGGAAAAAGAAGTAAAAACTACAATAAAATTGTTGCACTTAAGACGGTATTTGTCCATATAATCTGCAGATACTTGAAATCCACAGTTGGCGAGGGATTGCTGAATCTTAGAACCTTAAAACTGAATCTTATTAAGATCTGGAATACCCCAATGGTGGTGAATCTGAATGAAAAATGTGACACATAACATAAAAGAACAATATTTTATTCAATAAACCATAACAGTGGCAAGAGGCGGAACTCTCTTTGTAATTGTAAAATGTAAATAACAGTTCTATAAAGTTTGTTTACATCATCAGCATTGTATAAATTCTAAAACAACCAACAAACATATACCTCTTTAACTTGACAGTAAAAAAGCCTATGGAAGACTAACATTCTTCAGAACACTACACTTCACAAAATATATTAATGTCCTGAATAAGATTACAAATTACTTTTATGCATTGATCGTTATATATAGACTTTGGGTAATCTTGGCATTCAGGGCATATGGAAACTGTTGCATATGTTGCAGCTTCCATCTTCAGTACACAATGTGGTTGAACCCCAAAAGCCAAAGTTACACATAAGATTCAGGCCATGAAAATGTAAACACAGGAATACGTAAGCTTTGTTTAACCCCTTCGGAATCCTCCTAATATCTATTTATTTTTTTGTGGTTATTTATGATGCTGGCTGTACCAGAGACTATAAGGTCGACTGGCAGGATGAATGATGATTTGGAACGAAGTGGTCATGGCCTCATTGAGTCACTGTCACAGCGACTGCCCAGAATGACTGAGGAAACCTGTTTACTGACATTCTGGATCAAACATATGATGTCACTATTGCATATAGGTTCCAATTTTTCATTATTAAATCTTTTATATAGAGTTCTGGGGGAGAACGCATCAGTCTGTATTTTGTGGCTAACGTGAACTCAAAAACTAACTTTGTCACTCTGTAATCAGGCATGTGCTCAGCCAGGAATAACCACCAGATTTAGATACCAAGGATGTGATTATGTCCTGCCTTGCCAGGGCTATGACACACCTCAGGAAGCAGTGAGAGATAATACTCAGAATTACTGTGTTTCTGGACTTTGTCCACCGTCCAGTATTGTAAAAGCTAGAAAATACGTTTCAGAAACTGGATCTGTTTCCGTCCTCAGGTGAGGGGGGAGACATCTGCTCTGTTGGGTCCCTTAGAAAAGGCTAGCCTCAACCACCGGACAACCCACGTCAATATAACTATAGCTATATAGATACCTCGATACTATCAGTTTTTAGATCAAAGAATATACACCGAACGATTAAAACAAAAATATATAAAACAATGATAAGACCGGTGCTTTATTATGCATGAGGGTTGGATGCTAAACAAGAAAGAGGAATCAGTGATCACTTCTTTCGAGAGGAAAATCCTAAGACAAATTTATGGACCAATAAAAGAGAATGGGATATGGAGAATAAGATATAATAAAGAGTTATACAAATTATATAAGGAGCCAGAGATTTCAGTGACGATAAAGCTTAAAAGATTGCAATGGGCTGGGCATGTACAGAGAATGGATTAGGAGCGTATCCCAAAGAAAATATTATACAGTACAATAGGTGGTAGGAGACGTGCTGGGAAACCAAGAACTAGATGGATTGATGCGGTGCAAGAAGATGCAAAGAAGTTAATGGGTGTAAGGAACTAGAAGAGAGCAGCGCAGGATAGAGAGGAATGGAGGGGCTTGATAAGGCCCAACATCGGGCTGTTGCGCCATAGAAGAAGAAGATATAAACACCTGAGACCAGGCTTTGTCAAAGGGAGACAGCAGGAAAATACACAATAAAAATTGTGATAAAGCATACAGAGACCTGAAAACTAAGACAGAAAGGGAGGTGGAAGTTTTATACAGCAAACCAAGTCCATGAAAACCTGAGGACAGAAACAGATCCAGTTTCCAAAACGTTGTGTTCTCTAGTTTTCAGAATACTGGATGATGGACAAGTCTCAGAACCTATCAGTTCTAAGTGTTATACACCATTGTGAGAACCATTTAGAATCTAAGTGACAGATAAGTACAGAACAGCGGTATAATGATGATTAGCAGGGGAAGACTGAAGAAACTTAGAGAAAACGCTGCGGTGCCAGTTCATCCACCATGTACCTCACATGAGGTCATTTGCAATTTAATCTGAGGCTCTGTGGTGAGAAGTGTACATGCCTGAGATGTGTGGCATGTCCCTAGTAGGAACTGTAAATTAGTAATTACAATAATTTGGCCATCCATTTCTGTACTACATTGCCACAGGTACAGATTCTGATGATATAAAAATTTCCAGATATAACTGGAAGGTTTCATGTTGCCATGTTTGAAAATGTAAATATTTTTGTTAATATAAAAATTCATGGGTACATTTATGATCTGCACAGAATTTCACATGGTTAACTGTTTACATTGTACAAAAACATTACCTGGACAAGTATTTTGCAATTCTTATTTTTAAGATTTGTTACACATTAAATTTGCAGACCTTGCATTTAGTTGTGCTGGTATCATTGTTGCTTCTGAAGTTTGGATGGTGACATTGTTAGTAGTACTCATGGTATGAATTTAAAATGTCCAGAGGCTGGGGTGGCCTATAGTGGGATAATGCTTATACAAATTTTCATCAAAATGTGTTAGTTGGTTCAGGAGTTTTTAGCAACGAAAAGTAGCCTAAAATTATTTGAAATATCACACGTGTTGCTTTGTTTCCTGGAAGAGGGTAAAGCTGTAATTAAGCACAATTAAGCACAATGTCATTCAGTGTATGGGGGAGTGCAGGTATAGCTGTATGCATTTTTAATCTCTGCTCTAGATGGAGGTGAGTGGTCACCTTCACGCCCCAGCCGCTTTACCCCCTCAAGGAAATAGCCCCTGACACCCATTAAACAGGAAGCTGGGTGGGCCCCAAGTGAGTTTGTACCCCGTGAAGTGAAGAGGGGGGACTATTCTTTCTCACATTCCTAAAGATTTATCATTCGTAGAAGTGAACATGGTTCATTCTCTGAGCAGGAAAACGTGTACACTGATATAATGCAGAACCCTTTGAATGAAAAGTCCATTGTCCTGCAACAAGGCACCAGAATCATCTGAAAACAAATGTTATGGTCAAAAATATATGCTTTTCATCACTGTCTTTAGCATCATACTTTAATTTAAGGCTTATTTCTGTGGACCAACACCAAAATACTGTACTTTCAGTTAAAATGTCATTAGGAAATATAAAATCAGTCATAAAATAAATGATTTTCTGTATTTGTTTATGGTTCAGAAATAAAATATAAGTTTTAAAATATGTACATGCTTGCAGTACTAGAAACTTCCTATATCCTGCTATCAACTTCTTAAGTAAATTGTTCATGGCACACCCAGTTAAACATAAATTAGTACTTATGGGTAAAAATTTTCACTTTATTCGTCTGATCATTGTAGTTAACAGTTTGGAAACCTGTATATTTGTTAGATTTCAACCTCTGGTACACTGGGCTCAGACTGGACTAGGAACACAGTTCAAGAACAACTTCTGGCAAGCTTATCATCAGGTATCCAATTATTGGCCAGCATTTTCTTGTGTCCAGAAGTTTTAGTGAACAGTCCCAACACCATTAAAAGGTGCTTTACAAAATGGCAAGTTCTGTTTTCAACGCTGTGAATTCTTCACAGCCACAAGTTCCTTCAAAAGTTGGCGAATCTCCTTCAGTTCTTGAGAGTTCCTCTCCACCATGGTCTGCAGGTGACGGTTCTCTTCTCTGACAGCCTCAAGAACTGAGCAACAAGGAGGAGGCTCCACATAAATTGAAGGGGATGATTCAGAGCTCAAAGCTTCCAGCTGTTGGCAGAGGCGAGTCTGTTCACGCAACAGCACTGCCATCTGAAACAAAAATTTGACCTACGTAGGTTCATGATTATTTACCAGCACTTCTTCCAATGCACACTTTGTGTACATCGATCATTTTGAGGTCATTTAATGATGTCTGTAACTCAGACTATATATCATCGAATTATTGGGTGATAGTGAATAATTAATCGGAAAAGACAAGGCTGGCAGTGGTTATGGCCCACTTTAAGTCACTCCCTCAGCATTTGCCTGGAGAGACTAAAGAAACCCATGAGAACATCAGTCTAAGGCAGAAACACTTGTGTTTGGGAAGTGCCTGGTTCAATCTCAGGCAGGACTATCCTGAGGCTTTTCATGATTTCCCTCAGTCTGTCCAGCATATGCCAGGATGGTACCTTAAACTGGAACACTATCACTTTGTACCGCGTCCTTTCCATTTCATTATTCACCGTCATCCAGTCACTTGATGCTCTTTAATGTAGTTTACTGGCTGTTGTTAAACTACAAACAGTATTTGCTTAAAGGGAATTAAGGGAAACCATCAGTAGCATGCTCCTGGGCTGAGATTTGAAACCTGGATCTCCTAAATACATTAAAGAGGAGAGTCGATCACTGTATAACTATGTTTGATCATTAATGTATACTTAAGTGGCAGTCCGACCTGGCCAGTGATGTTGACAGCTCTGTGTGGTGGCTGTTCCTCTAGAAGATCTGCTACATGTCGTAACTCAGCAGCAATTCTGTCACGAACCTCCCTAACAGTCTGAAGTTCTTTGCTTACTTCAGCTACTTCATGGCGACCATTCTGCTCATTGGCTCGCTCGCCTACTAGCTGATGGCCATATGCTGCAAGACCTGCCCGCACGGCATTCCCTTGCAGATGCAGCAGCTGCTGACCCCCACACAGAACAAAACAAATTCATTAGGACCAACAAGCCAAACAGTGAGGTATGGCTCTAAACTCATAAATTCCACTATCATAGCACTGTCTGTTAGTGTGTCTCACCTTTTCCAAGCACTAATCAGTATATATATATATATATAAAGGTAAAGTTGTTCCTGTACTTAACTAAGCAAGCATTACACCATGAAGGCATATAGGGGAGTGGATGTATAGACCCACGTTTTCTTGACCTTGGCACTAGTTGGAGGTGAGTGGTCAGCTTCATGCCCCTGATCACTTTACTCTCAGGGAACGAGCCTTCAGTACCCATTGCATAGGAGGTTGGGTGCACCCCACCAGTCTGAATGACATGGAGAAGTGAAAATTCTTGACCCCACTGGGACTCGATCTCTGACCCTTCAGTTGTCCAGCAAGTAGCTAGTCATTATGCCAATTGCGCTATCCTGCCAAGTCCAAAAAATAAAAAAGTTCTGTGACAGTCATGAACCCCAAGCAAATATATTCTCCTCCATTTTGTGTCTCCTAAACTTTAAGCCAGAGAGAAACTGGAAAAGAACAAATATCAATTTCCTATGAAACACTGACAACCAGACTACAAGTTATCATAACCCACAACCATAACCTAAATCACGGAACTACTTTCTCATCTTTTGGACAATGAGAAAGGAGGCAGTAATTTTTGTCATTGTAACAAGACACTACAACCAGAAGACCTGTCTCTATAGCCAGTACAATCCAAGACCAGCTACAGTGTATGTCCCATCTGTATACGGATAATTAGTCGTAAACAGGGCAGTATTTGTCGTGATATCGTTTGTAGTGTCACTGAATCCGTGTCCCTTGAGGTCCACAATATCTACAGAATGGATTATTGGAAGGGTTATCAGGAAACTGTGACTACAGATGGGAACTGTCAAGTTTTTCCAATGAAATCTTAATGTTGCAGCTCTTACCTGCTCGTCAGTGTGGCATGCAAAGTGTGACGGATCTGTCCCCATAGTTATGTCCCAGCCTCTGTCCTAAGGAAAGATAAAGCATTAGTGGCTGCATGCTTCCATGCAAGCTTAGAACCAGTCTTAATTACTGCAAGCAGATAAGTAGTAAGTAATTCATGACCAAACTGTCACTCATGCAAGATTCCAACTCCCAAGACTTACTGTCCTAGTTCTCAGAAATATGATACAGGAATTGCTTAATTTATGTGATACTTGTTCTGGAAGAGCACTGCAGAGGGTGAAATCGCATAAACTAAACGTAATTTTCTTTTTCTCCTCTCGGATTTCCCCTCCACAAACCTGTATAGTAACCTACTCACCTTCCCCCCCACCTGTCTCAAATGGTCAGCAACCAATCTGCATTAAAGCAAGGGCCATTAATTGAAATCTGTCTAAACTGGCCGACTGTATTAAGATGAAATCACATTTTTTTAATTTGGATATGACAAACAGTACCTGTAGCACATTAAATATCTAACCAACCAATCAACCAACAAACTAACCAGCTCCATAGAACTGAATTCTTATTGAGAAGCTTACAATCACTCAGCTACTCAAGAATTTCCCCCAACATTTTATGGAACCCGATGGTTCATCACTGTGTTCACAAAAGCCCTCCACACTTGTACCAATCCCGAGTCAGATGAAACCACTATGTACTACCCCATCCTATTTCTTTAAGATCCATTTTAATATTGTCCTCTCGCCTACATCTGGGTCTTTATAGTGGTATCCTTCCTCCTGGCTTTCCTACTAAAGCCCATATGGTAGTACATAATCAGTGCACCAAACAGCTGAGGTCACACATCCTGACCACAACTTCCTGGCTGTACTTGCAGATGTATATACTGTTTACAAGTGAAGTGAAGTGAAGTACACTGCACACTACAGAACAAGAAGTGCCTTTGTTCAGATTTCACGAGAAATAATCTTTTTATGGAAATGGGAGTTATTTTATGATGCTTGAAGTAGCATAAAATGGTAGGACAGACGGAGGAATTGGAAAGGATTTAGAAGGAAACCACCATAGTGTGAGATACTGTCACAGAAGAACCGGACATAACCATGAAAAACTTGCGAGGATCAAACCAAACACCTCCTGAATATGACTCAAGAGTCTTACCAGTATGCCAACCTGTTTGGTCTTAGTTATTCACCCGATCCCATTTCATGACCAGAAAATGGCGGATGATTCAGCATAAATACAAGAAAAATCATAGGCTCCATATTTTATGACACTTAATTTAGAGTGGCATACTAATAGTAATGTTGCAGCCCTTTTTGAAGAACTGACAGAAAAAGACACAAGTTACACATACATTTCAGAAGGTTACTGCAACTTTGAGGATAATATTAAAATGGATCTCAGAGAAATAGGCTGGGGGGGTGGCTCAGGGTAGAGATCAGTGGCAAATTCTTATGAACATAGTAATGAACCTTTGGGTTCCATAATATTCTGGGGGTTTCTTCAGTAGCTGAGCAACTATTCGCGCCTCAAGAAGGACTTGGCTCCATGGACCGCACCTATACAGCTGAAGACAATTCAGTGAGGGTTCTATTAACTATGTACAAGGAACAGATATCAATAGAGGATTATGGCTGTCATCTCTGGCTCTGAATGTTTGTATTTTTAGGTGCTCTTTAAAAGGTTAAAAAAATGCCTTACTTTAAACCATGTCTGTCTATGACACAGCATCCATACCCAAACTCTTGGACAGATGACTTCAGACTTTCACTAAAAGTTACTGGGTAATTCTGATTTTCACCTATACTGATCCACAAGGCCATAAATGCTTATCACAGTAGGCTTCAGGCTCTGTCCTAAAGGCCTGTTCTGGCTTAAAGGTTTAAAAATATAACTGTTCTTTCCATCTTTTACATATCTGACCATGGTCTCTTCTGCCCCTGGGTTTGTAGTCAGAGAGTAATGCAGAAAATCTGTTTTGCTTCAGTCTTTCACTGTATTGTAGCCACATCATCTGATAATGTTTAACTACTGAATTTGTGTCAGTAATTTGTAGTTATTCTTTTATACCTTCAATTACTCGTATGTATGTGATTATACAATTGATATCGTGACATGGCTGTTAGGAAGCGCATTTCCACAGGTTCCAGCCAATCATTTTGATATTCTGTTGGTGTCCAGCACTTAGATCCATACAGAAAAATTGATATGGCCATAATCGTACAGAATTTGAGTAGCTGACATAAATCGTTATTCACACTGTTAGTTAGCCATTTTCATCTTTCATCAGATTGACCTTTTATGAAGCCTATAAAAGGTCAAGAATGAAATTCACATGCTGGTGGAGCACCAGGCAGCAACGAGAGGTAGTGATGCTCAGTGTGGTATCTGCCTTTCTCAAATACACAGCATAAATATGCAGTGAAATCATGATTTAACATGTAAGAGTTGACGAACAGGGGGGTTATCTGAAAATGGAGCTAGGGGTGTAAACTGTTTGTCTTGACGAGTATTCATATTGGTTGCATCTGAGAGCATCAGAATAATATGCAGAGGCATGTTAATACAACAGAAAATTGCAGTATGTACATGGGAAAACAGAGTTTATAGTAGTAATGCTCTATTAGTTAAATTTATAAAATGTCTGTCAATGTTTATTTTGTATCTTAGGGCTAAATTACAAAACAGTTGACTGTTATAGTTGGGTAAGTTGCAACTGAAAGCAACTGAATAAAAATAGAAGTTATGTACTTCTTTATATGCAACATTTCCTCTAGATAGCAACACCAGCACTGCATATTGTTATTCTGTCTAATTTACTATCTTGTCCTTTCAGAACTTCTCAAGTTTCTGAGGTAAGGTGTTTTTGATGTTTGCTTTTCATAATTTTCCATCTCTCTCTAAAGTTGTGTGCAACATTTATTATGGTCATTATGCAATTCTGAGTTACCACGCCAATGAAATTTCAAGCATTAATGTACTGCATGAACACAAGTTACGAAGCAGGTCATGAATGGGCAAATGATATTTTGTTTCAGTGTGTTGTATGAGATTAAATGGTTTATAATTGCCTACGCATTCAAGTTTTACAAGGGGGACGGCATTAAATACTGAACTCAGTGCATCATTCAATCACACAGGACTGGAAAGAACACAGGAGAAAGCAGGGGAAATTAAAACTACTGACAGCTTAAATAATAAATAATGAGACTTCCCAAATTCTCAGCAGGTGTGCCAACAGTGTAAACTACAGGGATAGATCCACAACACTAGAATCTTGTATAGAACTTACTGCCAACTCTCCAACCAACTGGTTCAGACCTGTCACAGTAACATCTGATAAGCTGCTTCTTGTATTCCTAACACAGGGAACAGCACACGGTTTGAGATAGCGCGTGTTGCTCGTGGAATCACTCGCGTCCTTCGCGTCGACATCAATAATCCCACTTTCACGTTCTGCCACTACCTCTGGTTTGCAAAGACCGTCACTCGGGCGTTTTTCATTGGTCCGACTTGAACCTGACTTTTGCAGACCAACATGAATGACACTTTCATCGCTGCAGAAACTAAACATGTTGCTGACGCTGCTCCAGCTGCTGCAGTGCATCATGTCATCGCTCGATGCCAAATGTTGTAAGCAATGAGGAGCTGACCTAACCCTACGCACCCTCCCAAACAATAAGCTGTTTCTATGATGTATGGTATGGAGAGACATGGTCCGATGACGCGTTAGATCATCGTCAGTACACACTGATGGTTGGTTCTGAGGAATGTGATTCCCTGGTAATGTTCTTTCTGAGGAACTATCTTGATATGCACGTGTAAAAGTCTGTAGTCTCGGAGATACAGAACTTCTCTCACATGGAACCACGTTATTAGAAACATGAAAATTGTGAGCATTTGCTTCCTTTGTGGTGGCACTATTTATTAGAAAACTGTTCTGTTTGTGTGTCACTTCTGCAATGCTTATGTTCTCCGAGGATCTCTGGCGTTCGTGTAATATTGCACATGAACCATTTGCATCACAAACGTGTTCCTGAACACAGGGGACATTACGTTGATCTAACAAGTCATTTACACTACTGAGTTCTTGAAATAAACTGTTTGGCAAATTCTGCTGGTTTATTGCACTTAACCCGATTTCACTTCTCAGTGTACATTCTTTAGTAGGACTAGTTATGCTGGAATCAGTTGGACACTCCATAGAAACTTGCGTTTCACCACAAGGATTCACACTTACAACTAAGTCACTGTTTAGAATATCACATGAAGAGCAAGAAGGTACAATAGTGACTTCAAGGTCACTGGAAGACATTGTTTTGTTAGTCATTTGTGTTGCCTCATTGCTTGTTCCACTTGGGCCACCACATTGACTAGATTCAGAGCCGATTATAGTGCCATCCGTGTTGTGGCCGTTTTGTCTTGAGAGGTACGTTTCAGAATCACCATCCAGGAAGCCGCTGCTGTCTGACCAGGCTCGTGATAACAGTGTCATCCCGGCCTCCTCTTCACCACATGTGCAAATCTGTACAACAAGAAACAAATATGCATGAGACAGACAGTGACAAGGCATTGGTCACTTTACATTCTGATGTATATGGATCTTCTTCCACCAAGTGTACATCACAAAGCAGAAGCCTAACATCACTCAAATTCTTAAGATCTGAGCTTGTAACAACAGTTTAGATTCATCCTGTGGCCTTGTAGGTTATGACTCCATGTAGTCTGGTAGGTGGGCTCCAATATTTTTGGAGGAACATTCGACCTCTGAGGCTTTTGATAATTTTGAAAGAATATTAAATTCGCTGTCGGCACGCTGGTCCTCTCACAGCTTAATCAGCCTCATTAGCCACTGTTTTCAGGGTTCCCGTGCAACCTTCTCTGTTTCTATAGCAACATCATGTAACACCCCATTGGTGAGCCCTCTACTAGATGTCACCCTTCCCATGGCATGGATACCAGAGCTAGATTTTGGAGCCCTTTCCTCCTTCGACCCATATAAAATGGAGCATATGAAAGCTTTTTTCTTAATGAAGCATGTACCCTGAGATTGAGACAGTAGATGTCAAAACATGTAGGGACAATGATGAATTTAGACTAATTTCAAGAACATGTACTGTAACTGACTGTCCTGTGAGGAGAAACAAGAATATTCAGAACAATATTTTGGGGAAGAGTGACAGAAATCTGAATCACTCACTCCCAAGTGTTGAAAATGATACAGTAAAGACATTTTATTTTTGGTTAAACAGGGCAGACTTTGTGATGAAAGAGGTATCAACACTTTATTTTATCAGGCTCAGCAGATAACTAATGTGAAAAGTTTAATTTTAAACAATTTTGAAGACAAAGTTTGAGTTTATTCTTGTCCAGAAATCAGCATATTTGCATGTTTGTACTCCTTGTAACTTCTGATAAGAAATGGAACTATGGCATAAATACTAACCTCCTCCATTTCAAAAGAATCGCCTTTGGCACCCACGCTGGATACGTGAAGTAGATCTATATCCTGAGGCTGCTCTATGTTTTCTGCACATTGAAATTCATCCCCTGTTTGTTCTTTTGCAAAATTTATACCCTCAATTAATTCTTCATCTTTTAGATATAAACCAGTCTTTTCTTCTTGTACCATTTCAACTTTCTGAGTTTCTTGTATAGGGTCTTCACCTTTTGCATTGCTGACACAATGAATTTTCTGTAACCTGTGTTCCTCCATTCTTGAATTTTCTAATGGTAACATTTCATCAACAGGCACAAGTGAGCCATATGCACATCCCTGTTCTGTCTCCTCTTTCGCATCATGTGTGCTCTTTGCATAATCCAACTCCAGTCCTAATGGTTGTGTTTCCTTATGTGACATGTCTGATGAATTTTCACACTGCTCCGTTACTTCTGCGCTATCACTGACTGACACGTCTAAAGGTTCCTCCTCATCCAAGATACGCTGCTGCCGCTTGAAGCTACCCCTACGAATCTGCAGCAAGCTGATAACATCTGTCTGAATCTCCATCTGTTCCTCCAGTGTTTTACTACTTCTCTGGACACCAGATGGAGCTGAGACACCGTCCACTGCGTATCTCTCGTCACTTCCATTTTCACTTCCAGACTGACATTCAACGTGAGCAGCTTTCTCCCTGCATTCTGGTTCATAACCACTGTTAATTTTTGTATCCTGCTCTTCATTTGTGACATGACTGTCACTCTGTCTGTCAGCCTTTTTCTCACAGGGTACATCTTGAGATTGTTTACTGGCAGAAAGATCCTCTGATAAATCAGGCTTCAGCTCTACATTCTCGTCTATCGATTCATACCTCATTGGCCAAGACACTGAGAGAGGGCCTTCCGGACTTGAATGGAAGTGACTGTAATGTTTCGTGACCATTCTTGACACCCCATCATTCTCTTCAGGGAGTTCTGTCACATGTTCTTCAGTAAACTGATGTCTGGCACCACTGCAAACATCAGAATGGGACATTATGGGCAAGAGTACCGCTTCTGATTCCCAGCTGCTCAAACTTGTGGAAGACATACGTTTGCTAGAGATGGGGTACAGCGGGTAAACCTTCTGTGGTATAGGTTTCTCAGCTACGGTATCTGGCGAGATGCTAGGGGAAGGGAAACGATTGGACTTCACAGTAGAATTTGTTGGGTGCTCATGAATAATGTTGTGCCTGGGCTGAACCACAAAGATACTGCTGCGATCATCAGTATCGCTGTCACTGTCGATACTGGTGAAGCTGAGGCTAGTTGCAGTGGACAACACAGAATCCTTATGTACGAGTGGTTTGGGTTTAGGGGTGAAGTTCTGAGTTGGAGTTGTGGGTGCAACAGGGTCAAGTTCGATGAGGTCACCATCACAGCTGAAGGTGTAGCTTCGATGACCAATGATCATACGTTTCCGGGGAACTTCAGGAGATTTGCTGCCTTGGTTGTCAAGAAAGCGTCTGTTGTCTGGTGTCAGTACGCTCTGTTGCTGTTGCCTGTTTGTATGAAAAACCAACATTACAACTTAAACAAGTCAAGAAGCAGAGAATTTGTTCTCATGGTGATGAGAATTAAGATTATAGTCTTCTGGAATGAGATGCCGTGTACTCTGGTACCTGTCTCAGAAACTACGTGGCCAAACATTCCATAAGACTGTTAAAATTTCTTGAGTAGCTGAGCAGCTGTCAGCTTCTCATGAAGAAGTAAGGTTCTTGCAGTTAGAAGTCCACTCCACAAACACAAGTATGAGTAGCTGCTGCAAGGTTGAAGTAACGAATTACTGTGCAGAACTGTGTGACGGTCAGTTGGATGTGTGGACAGCTGAGTACAACAGGTGTCACTTATTTATTCTGACCCTGATTTAATGTAATCTATGCAAGACATTCAGTTCTTGTGGTAATAAAAATGAAAAAAAATTACCATCTCATGGGATGGAGCATGCGGTAGTGTAGTTTGTTGAGGCACAATGCTACAAGCTGGAAGCTTGCAGGTTCAAGTCCCAATGAGGTGGATTTTTTTTTCAATTGACCTAGTCCTTCCAGCCGCACTACGGCCCTGGGTTCGACTCATCCTCTAACAGAAATGAGTACCAAGAATCTCTGGGAAGTAAAGGGCAGCTGGTGCGTACGGCTGACAACCTTACCACCATCTGAGGCGAATGTCTAGATAATGTGGGACCCTCAATGTCTCACAACCCTATGGGACTCTTACAGGGTACCTTTTACTGTGTCATGGGATGCGATGATGTGTATTTTAATACCGTCTCGTGGGATACAATGCCACATAATCTAGTACACTGTTACCAACATTTCAGGGGAAATGTTGCCTCTGTATTCAGTGTGTAAGTGTGGAGCTATAAGTCTATCCTGAATATGAAAGCACCATATTCCTCTTGACATGCAGGTAATGACATACTAGACTACACGGCACAGAGAGAGTAAAGGTAAACAGGTTCCTGTGCTTAATTAAGCATTATGCCATGAAGATACAGGGAAGAGCGGAGGTATAGCTCCATCTTTCTTGACCTTGGCACTAGATGGGGATAGGCAGTCAGCTCAACACTCCTGCTGCTTCACACCCAGGAAAACTGCCCTCAGTACCCACTGGTTAGGAGGCTGGGTGGCCCCCAGAGCCAGTGTAGAGACTATGGAGAAGAGAATAATCTTGCCCCTGCCAGAAATTGAATCCCACCCCCACCCCTCCTGCTGTCCAGCCCGTAGCTTGTAATGTTACTGCCTGAGCTATCCTGCCTCTTACCCAGGAGACTCTTCATAATCTGATCAAAATTGTGATTTAAAAAATCAATGGTATGAAAAATGTGGTACCTTGCAATAAACGGTAGAGCACCCAGTACTGAGGTACGAGTCAAGACGCGACGGGCAGCTCGTGAAAATTTGTTTGAGGCAATAGACAGAGAAGGTGATGTAGATCCATTGTTACCAATAACTGGAGCAGATACCACTGAAGGAGGTGGAATATTCTCACGCTCATGTTCACGCAGCTTCTCCATTATTTTTGCCACAATCACAGATGGAGGAGTGTGGGATGAACCTGACACAAGGCAACGGTGCATTAATCCCTGAATCACTAATTATACTGCACAGGTTTTGAAGTATACACAGTACTTCAACTACAAACTAATAATATTAAGAACTAGTAACACTTTTAATTTGCATTCAGGAGGTGCGAATCTCAGTTGGGGGCAAGCCAGGTATCTGCCATTTGGCCTGAAAATCTTTGGAAATAACTGAAGTTGACAAATAAGAAAGTATACTCTAAGCTGTGCCATAGCTGAGGTGGTTAGTCACTGGCTTCCCATAACAGCAGCCTGGGTTCAGTACTATTTCAAATAATGTGGGATTTGTGGTGGACAAAGTGGCACTTGGGCAGGTTTTGTCTGAGTAGTTTGGTTTCCCTTGCCAGTTCTCATTCCACCAACTGCTCTGTACTCATTAACTGTCATACAGCCTTGATACTGACAGCATCGTTAAATAACAATTTAAAAAAAGGAAAATATTCCAAACATTATAAGATATTTATTCTTTCCTCCTATAGAGACCCCTAACTCTAGGGTGGTCCATAGGAATATTCAGATGGTCAAAATATAAGTTTGTAAGCAGATCTCCTGGCTGGCCTCTCATGTAAACAATCTCATAACATCCATGTAGCAATAACGAGAAACACAATTTTACTTGCATTTACAACTTAAACCTTAAAGACCAACAAACTGTCAATTTACACATGCTCTGAGTATATCGCAGAACTTCGCTCTGAATGACATGCAGTTAAAGAAGGATTTCTGGTAGGAGATCAGTTGAGAGCAAACTCAGATCCACTCTTCTACACAAGAGATGTACAACATGCCAGCAGTAGAATCCTCTTGCGTCAGTGGCTGTGTCACAGTTCAATTAACACTTTAAACTAAACTTGATGCAACAGATTGTCCAAGAGGATTTTAGAGTGTTCATTCACCGTGGAAGTTTAAAACATTTTGTGAAACTGGGGACATCAGATTTAGTGATGGGAAAGTTTGCACTCGGTTGGATCTAACAGGTCCATATGAGCAGAAAGCTCATTAAGATTAATGTTCCGTGCTGCAAATAGTACATGTGCTTACAGGTACACACACAAACACACTGAAATGCAACACAACTCATCAAAGGCTTGGTTGATTGTTATAATTGTCTTTCAAGGTGATGACACTGTGTTACGGTGGGCTGATCTGTCAGTATTTCAGAGACGTAGCACTCTTTAATGTTCAGGGAAAAATAGCTGGCAACATATGGCAGCAGTATTTATAATCCTACATGTTGAGGTAATGGGGAAATCTATTTCCTGGTTTACATATGTACCACATTTTTAGGCATTCTTTACAAAGTAAGAAAGGTCTCGCCTGTCTGTGTCCTAGTATCAGCAGCTGGTACCATTCGATAGATTTCTTTTAGAAATCTGATACAGGAGACTTCCACCAAAAGTTGTCAGGCAATTGAAATTTTCAGCCATACTGACTCGTAATAAACACCGCTTTACTTTGGTCTTTTTAATGTATTTGAAAGGAATGTTACTGAAAACTTTGTGTACTACATCACACACTATACCTTTTTCCACTCTTGTTGAAACAGAAGGCCCATATCAGAGCCATATCTTGTCCACAGTGTTGTGGACAAGAAACTGTTTCAGACAATCTGCATCTGTGTTAAGACCAGCAAGAAGGCATTAGTCTTACATACACAAAGATTATCCTGCACTGTAGATATTGCCACTATATATGTTGCCAGATACTTTGCCTTGAAGATGGAAACTGCTAAGTTCTGTGAAATCCTGGCAAACCAGTCCACGCAGTTTCAGTTAGTGAGGCATACTAACGTGAAACAGGTGAAGTATTACTTCTATGTATCAAAAAGGAACAATATCCATGCCTAGGAAGTAGAAGTGAAAACTGTCAGGTGTTTTTATAGTGCTCCTGTTTATAATGTTTACTTTTTATGGCAGCTACTGAAGTCTTATAGAAAAAGACCAACTCTTTACTTCATATATGGTTCACTGGTTTCTACTGCCTCCAGTTGTGTTCTGTGTGGATCAGTCTGGCCTCCATCCTCCTATCAAAGTGTGTAGAATCAATTTATGATGGATTCTTTTACTTCCAGTGATAGGGCAGTGAGAATGACAGTCAACAGATGAAACCTGCAGCTTAATGAGGACTAACAACCACTGATGTGGTGGGAGGCTGGTAATGTTCACAATTGCAAAGTTTTTATCTTTGGCAGATGTGACGGTTTCAGTCTAGAGGCAGAAGGATCAACACAGAACACAGCCTGTCAGTGAGAGTTTAGTGTCTTATTTCAAGACGACTAAATGCCTCGTTTCTCTTGGTATACTGTTTCTCAGTTAGTTATAACATTCACTACTAATGGCTGTACCACTCGGGGACTGTGGCCCCCCCCCCACAACAGATTGGGGTTTGCTGTGTCCTTAGTAATCAAAATATTTCATCTTTCCTCCATCAGATTATAATCTTCATGCTTTGACAGCATTACATCTAGTACCCAGCAGATATGAAGCTGCAGGGGCGCGGGAAGTGGAAATAATTTTTCCTCTACCAGGAAGCGAACATTGACGTTGTGACCCATAGGTAGTCATTTTACTGTATGAGCTTATTCTAGCTCGTTCTATTTCTAGATAAGAATATTTGATATTACTGATAACACTGCACAACACATTCTCAGTTTTTATGATGTGTGTGTGACATAAGCTGTTTCTGACTAAATTAGGTGCGCTGATCGCAAAGACGACAGTCAGAACATTGTAACATGCACAGTCCTTTTGTTACCTCCCCTCTTTTTGTTTTGCATGTGGGAGACACAAGTGTAACAACCACTTATGCAATTTGAAAAAGAAATAATAATAATAAACTTCCATTTGCAAATAAAGCATAATTTTCTGACATTATGGTTGACAAAAATTATAAGAACACTGATTCCCAGCTGAACATTATAAACAGGCTTCACTATAACACATGCTGCAAATGTGAACTGACATCAAATCACAACATATAGAGAAGTCACTTACGTTCTCTTCCAGTCCTCTAGAAATACCAGATCTTGGAAAATGACTGGATCTAATCTCTAAAGAAATGATACAGAGATACAGATCTGATATGCAGAACACTGTGTTTGAAAACATGTCCTCTTCATGGGGAAATTCAGAGAAAGATGTGTCTAAAATGGACGGAAAGGATATTCGGGCCTGCTACCAGTGACAGCTGGGCTAATGGAGGTAACGGTGTAAACTACATGTAGTTTGAATTTATGTAATTCTGATATACCGTGTTTTATAGTAGTGTCATTAGCTAATACAGGAATACATTTTGCTTAAAATTTATTCCTGTCCAATATAGTCTACTGTGTATTAACTGCAACCAAAGACTCAGCAATTTCACATTGACACTGTAAGAATAAATCCTTGACATAAACTGAAGACTGCTTGTATAGCAAACTTATGAATTATGAGAACTGAAGCTCAGAAACCTTCCTACAGTCTGGGTTTGAACTCCTCTCCCACCAAAATATGATATCTTGAAAACATTCAATCAGAATACCCCGTCATGGACCTCTAGACTATGAATGTCTGTTATGGCCTTTACACAGTCAAGAAAAGTTAAAAACAAGAAACAGAATAAGATGACTGAACAAAACAAATGTTTCCACAAGAAATCTGTAATATATGAAACAAGTGATAACATTATGTGGAACATGGTGAACATACCAGCGAAACTTTTAATGATATTCTGGCATTATTAGATGTGCAGGGATGGCCTGTGATAAGAAACAGTGATGTCAGTGTGTGAGCCTGAGAAATACTCATGATCTGACCAAATGCTGCAGCTGTGTATTTGGGAAGTTTCACCTTTACCTTCCATGCAAGTGCTGGGATAGTACCTACAATTAGGCTGCAACTGCTCTTCTCACACCCTGTCCAATTAATTATTCATTCATCATCCTACCATCTGACACCATTTATGTCTCAACTGTTGACAACATCATTAAGAAGACCATGAATGTTGAATGTGGTCATCTGGTTGCAGCACCTTGTATTCTTATAGGTGAACACCAGCTTTTAAGAGGAACATGTTGCCTACATCTTTAGGATCAGAGTGAGCCCCTTGGATTCAAAAGAGTGACTCACTTTGACCCTGAAGATGTAGGCAACATGTTGGTGTCCACCTACAAGACTACACAAAGTATCACAATCCAGAAGACCATGACCTGAATAATTACTGATATGAAAACATCAAAACTTCGTAAATATGCAATGAACACATGGCTGACAGAGTGTGCAGTGTACCAGCCCATTTCTGACACCACTTTTCCTTATAAAAGTCCTTCCATAGGCAGTGAATAATTTAGAAGGCTCCAGGGCATGAAAAAATTATTTCAATTAGGACAATGCATGAAGATAGGAAATGTCTAGCATCTAATTTTATTTTGATTATGAATAAATTAATTAACAATCTCTTACAGCAAACGTCAATAACTTCAGTTCATCGGATCTCAAGCCAATGTTAATAAATATGTGTGTATATATATATATATATTTCCATAGTTCAACATTTGATATAAGTTTTAGTACAACTCATGATAACAGTAAGTTTACAGAATAACTCGGTCAATCGCAACATTGCTTCACGTAACTGTATAATCTTAACAGTCTAACACTAGAACAGTACTGGTACCACAGAGCACATTCACAACCTGTTAAAAAGAGTCACTATTTTCACATATTCATCAACAGAGAATTTTTAACTCTTTCTCATCTTTTCTTATTTCCAAATTGACTCCTATAGTTACAAATGAATTTTCACAACAGTTTTAAAAAGATATTTTGATATGGGAAGGCGTAACACTCCTACCACCTGTTACTGCTACATGTAAACTATTATCAAAGTGTGTACAGCACAGATACAACATTGGATACATGACCCATAATGCAACAATAAATTCATAATCTGGTGGCAGAAGGCTTCCAGTAGTGGACCTGCGCAGGAAATTATG